CGTTCCCTGTCCCGCACGAGCTCGTTTCTCCGTGAGCCGAGGTGGGCTTTTCCCCCCTCTCCTTAAATAACGAGGGTGGTCCCAGCATACTCTATATCGAGACAGCTTTTCATCAGTTGCTCATCAGCATGCTAATTGCTGTATGACTAATTATGCCCTGAATTCCAGTTGATTTTCTTAATGAGACAGCTGGGTTAATTATGTAATCGTATGATTACATTAGCCCAGAGTGCCCTGGCGAAAAGGGAGGCGGGCGTGAGCGGGATGTCACCGGGCGAGGGGTGCGCGGGGGGCACCCACGGCCACTAATGACCGGGGAGGGCAACCCCGCGACGGTGCTCGTGGTGTAAACACCAGGGATAAATTATTAATAGTAAGAGCTGCGTCGTCTTCTCCCAGCTCCCAGAAAGAGGGAGGAACAGGGGTTTGTAAACAAAACTCACTTTGGAAGTTCGGGGTGGTCGTCAGTTACCTTGTTGTATGTCCAGGGGTGAGGTTGGGTTTGGGCTGAGTGACATGGGGTGGTGGGCGGGTCATAGGATCAGAGAATATCCTGAGTTGGAAGGGACCCTTAGGGATCATCCAGTCCAACTCCTGGCCCTGCCCAGGACACCCCAGCAATCCCACCCTGTCCATGAGAACATTGTCCAAATGCTTCTTGAGCTCTGGCAGCCTTGGGGCTGTGCCCACTGCCCTGGGGATCTTGTTCAGTGCCCAACCACCCTCCAGGGAAAGAAACTTTTCCTAATATCCAACCTAACCCTCCCCTGACACAGCTCCAGCCTTTCCCTCAGGTCCTGTCACAGGTCACAGAGATCGGAGCTGTCCCTCATGAGAAAGCTGCAGACCCCAATGAGTTTCCTCTTCAGGCTGAACAAAACAAATGTCCTCAGCACTCCTCGTATGGCCCCTCTAGACCCTTCACCATCTTCGCAGCCTCCTTTGGGTGCTCTCTAATAGCTTTATATTTTTATTACATTGTGGCACCCAAAACCGCACCCAGGGTGATGATGGGCTGCCTCTCCCTGCTCAGGTAACTTACAGTTTGGGCAAGATCCACCTTTGAGTTTCTTTTAAAATTGTTCATAAAGTCAGTAGTTTACATGCATAAGCAGCAGCAGCAGCAAAAAAAAATTGTTTCTTTTGCACTGCTGTTCAAAAAAGATGCATCATCAGGGCATGTGTGTGGTGTGAGAACAGCCTCGGAGGTGTTGCTGTGGCTGGTTTGCTCCAGCTCGTTTGATGCGAAGTATTAACTGCTACAAAAATCACTTTACATTTGTAACATTAATTTTTTCATGTCTGTGTCCATCGAGATGTGTCCGTCCCCCCCTTCCTTTGTGGGGATAGAAGCTCCTCTGCGAGGGGATGGTGTGGTGTCCCAGCAGTGAGCACAGGGATGGTGGTGAATCCGTTGGGAAGGAAAGGCAGAAATGGGCTTTGCAGGTCCTGGGTTTAAAATAGTGTTTCTCCTGTGGTAGTATGTGGAGGAAGCCTTGTCAGGGATCGGATCCAGATGTGCTGGGCTGTGTACGAACACAGGATGCAGAGGACTTCTCTGTGGGTACGGGGTGCAACAAGTGTTTTAGGAAAAATGAACAGAATAGGAAGAAATAGAAAAAAATACACTAAGTTTAGTATAAAAATAGACATCTCGGTTTACTCTTGGGCAGTAATGATCTTGCAAAACACTTCTTCAAGTTCTGAATTATCCTATTCCTTTTACCAGTTTTCTCACTTTTTATTTATCCTGTGCTTAGCAGGGATCCAGAACTTTTGCAAGAAAAGATTCAAAGAGAATAATGTGTGATGAGTTTTCCACGTTTGAGTGTTCAGTGAGGTGATTTTTCTCTTTTACAGACCACAGAAAGGGCATTTCCTTTTCTACCTCTCTCCATAAGCCAGGGCCACTTGATTTTTTTGAGCCGTGTGTGCCTGTTGTTTGTGTAATGAATCGAAAGTTTTGGTCCATTGCTTGTTTAAAAATTCAGTGACCTCCTGTTAAATGACATGAAACATACTTTGTAAGCCTGGTTAATATAAAAAGGTGTGCTTTTCCATGCATGCATGTGTTGGGAAGAGGAGGGTATTTTTATTTATTTTTAAATCCATTCCTCTCAGGTAAGAAAAAAGTCATCGTGACTGTAAGGTTTATACTTGTTTCAGGTTAATTGGTGTTCATAAATACTCCAGAAATAACAGGTTTTTAGGTTTTTTAAGCTAAAAGAGCATGTTGGAGCTTGCCATAAGAAATTATTTGTGTCTCTGCCTGAAATCGTCTTGGTTACTTTATTGTCATACAGCGATTAGTTTTCTTTAATGCAGTTTATAAAAATTAAGTCTTAAGAGGTGCTTCAGCCGTGGGTTTTTTTACATGTCCTCCAGCAGTATTTAGTGGCTGGAGGCCATTAGTCCTTCAAATAGGCTCTAGTGAAGTTTGAGGTTTAATGCACAGAGACTTTTTTTACATTTTGTTTGTTCTGCCACTGTTTTGCTACTTGAACATTAACCTTTAATAGAGCTAAATTAAATATACATGTCCTGATGAATAATTATGAGATTGCAAGCATTTTCATTTTGTACATAAAGCTTCTCAGGGATTGCAAATTTGACTTAAGGTTTAGTCATTATTCACTTCATAATGCCCACGTTATTTTTTTGTCCTTTAATTCTTTACTGATTTCAATATAAAAAGCCCTGTGTATTCGGAGCAAAATGCCTCTTGTGGGTGTCCTGGCTTTTTACAATGGGCGTGTTAAAACGAGAATTAAATTAATTAAAACAATTTTTGTGAGGTTCAGTTTCTCTCATTGTGGTGCTTCGACACCGTTCGATAGAAATCCCGCGGCCGAAGCTCGAGATTCCCCAACCTGATACGACTCGTGGTTCCTGTAACCATTTAAGATGTGGATGGATTGAGGCAATCCAGCCTTTCTTTACGTTCAGCAGATGAATGTCCCGGGCTGGCGCTCTGGGAGAAATGCTGAGCTGCAGGAGTGTGACAAAACGTTCCTCGCGGATGAAGGTCGGCAGACCTCCATGGGAGAGGGTGGTGTTGTGACAGCCCACGCCGTAATTGGACCATACATAAATACTGCAGAGCCTTTAACTCGTGCTACTGCTGTGACTTCAACTCTATATTTAATTCCTTACCTGTACCCCCCTGTCTCTGCCACCGTAACATTTTAAGTTTGATTTATTATAAATATTTTAATGCGGATAATAATAACGAAAAGTATTTGGCCTAAAAAGCATAAATGAAAAAGCTATGTAGTCATAAACTATGTATGTACAGAGAACAGATGACAAGCAACCTAGATTTTGTATTATGAACAGGGTAATGCCATAAGCTGTTGAAGAACTGGAGTAACAAAATGCAGCAGGCTGCTACTTAGAATGTCTCTGAGCTCAACATAACCCAGTGCTATTCTTTTATAAACTATGCAACAACGCTGGCATATTGAAAAAACACACAGGCTCATGCTTAATGTGTTAACAGAGGTACAATAGACTTATTATGTGTTTCCAGAGACTGAGGGTGGTCTGAAAAATTAATGACTGTGGTGGTTGAAAATTAAGTGAACTCCCTAATATATACTGTTGTTGATCCACTGAGTTTGGTGTTTAGCATTCCTCAACAGGAGACTAAATCTTTGCAGCCATTTCACAAGAGATGCTGGCGCCCACAGCAGAAATATATTCAATAATCTTTTATAAGTCCATTGCACTCCAGTGTTTTCTTATTCTTCTGGGAAGAAGTCCCAGAATAAATCACACGTGCACATGTCAGGTGTGTACTGGGGACCCTCTTTATCAGAAAGGGATAAGCATCAGAGAATTAATTTTGAGAGGAAATTTGATTAATAGTATTAGAAACAGAGGGATCCAACCCCAAGCTTCATTGAGTTATTTACATCCACACAGTATTTCTGATTATTATTGATCTGTCAGTTAGAACAAGTACAGCTCAGATCTCCATGATCAAATAACCTCTTGGAGCTCTGCTGTGCAGGAGGGCACAGTTTGCTTCAGAAGTTCACTGCTGCAGAAGCAGAGGTGTGTGAGGGACAGTAGCTGTCTGTGAGCTGAGCAGTTTAATTGCTTTTTACACAAAAATTCTCATTTTGCGAACAAAAATGTAAAACTGAAGACTCTCACGTGCCTTTGGTATCATGACTGTCTGCACCCAGCAACACTCCCCTGTGGATTAACACCAGGATGAAGAAGGCATGTCCCAATGTCATGGAATCCTAGAATGGTTTGGGTTGGAAGGGACCTTAAAAACTACCTCATTTCATCCCCTGCCATGGGCAGGGACACCTTCCACTAGCCCAGGTTGCTCCAAACCCCATCCAGCCTGGCCTTGGACGCTTCCAGGGATGGGGCAGCCACAGCTTCTCTGGGCAACCTGTGCCAGGGCCTCCCCACCCTCACAGGGAAGAATTTCTTTCTATTATCCCATCTAACCCTGCCCTCTGGCAGTGGGAAGCCATTCCCCCTGGTCCTGTCTCTCCATGTCCTTGTCCCAAGTCCCTCTCCAGCTCTCTTGGAGCCCCGTTAGGCACTGGAAAGGGCTCCAAGGTCTCCCCAGAGCCTTTTCCCCAGGCTGAACAGCCCCAGCTCTCCCAGCCTGGCTCCACATTTAAGGGGTAACACAGATACAATGAAATATTTCTGGATTTTGAAGTTTGCAGGATACGAGGAATGTACAGGACTGTACATTTAGTGCCTTACTGGCACTAAAATGTATATTAATAGATAAAAAAGGACTCTTGAGCTCTGAACTGCTTGAATCACAGATGTGTTCCTGTTATCTTATGTTTCATTTCACTGTTCCCCTTTCAGATCCGGTTCCAGCCTTGGATTTGGGACAGCAGCTTCAGCTGAAGGTTCAACGTATGCACGATATTGAAACAGAAAACCAGAAGCTTAGGGAAACTCTAGAGGAGTACAATAAGGAATTCGCCGAGGTGAAAAATCAGGGTATGTTGCAAACACATTCTTTTATCAGCTCTTATCACCGAAATTTGAAGGCAGGGGTTAAATTCAGTTTTATTTCGTGCAGGGAGAGTTGACAGTAGCACTGAAATTCAGTATAGAAAGCACAGTGGTCTGTTACAGCCATCTCTGTATTTATGACTTTGGGTAGACTCTTTGGATTTGTTTAAAATTTCATTTCCTGTAACACCAAGGCAGAGGATGGAGTTGTTATTCTGCATATTGTGCTGTAGCCTTCAGCCCTGAAAATTACACCTGACTGACGTTATATGTGACATTTTATGAGAGGCGGTGCTGGTGCTGACATCAAGCTGAACGTGGGTGTGGGTGCTTGTAGGACATGCATCTTGCACAGACAGGCACCAGAAAAAAATCAGTATTTTATCCACACATACAAATCTGTACAAAATGGAACTTTTTCTGTGCTCTCTTTTCCCTTATCTAAATGTATTACTGGAGTACATTCAGCATAGTTACTTTATATTTACTCTAGAGACTATCCACAGAGCAATGTAAATACAAGCTATTACTGTTTAATTATTTAAGTTTTAATGAGACCAGAGTACATGAAAATACATGAAAATCTCAATGAGATTTAAAGCCTGTTGGCTTTAAGGCTGTTCAAGTTTTCTTGTGATTCAGAATAAAGTTTCCTGCACTAGGAAACAAAATTTTACTCAGTTGTACACCTCATTACCTATCCATGGGACTTTTCATTTCCATGTTTGATGCCCAGTTCTGAGTGGTGGAAAGGTAAATTGTCTTGGCATTTGGGAAAATGGAGATTTTATTTTTCATATTATGGAACTGTTGCACCCAAGTAACATTTGAAAGCTGCGTTAGCAACTCAGCTGATTTTGTTACATCTCATTTTCAGCAGAAGGAACATATATGCAGTTATATATTTTGAAATATATTTTAACATAGAGGGTGTGACCTCTGAAGAGGACAGGTATCAGCATGCCAGGATTTGGGCTGGACTGGAAGAGATGTCATGTGGGAGCTGTAATGCTCTAAGCCTGTATACTCTAAAAAAGTATTTTTTGCTGCAAATGTACAATAATTGCAGTTCCCTGTGCAGAGTTTTCCTGAGACTCTGCATCCTGTTCATCCAAGCTGGACGTAGGGGTTCATCCCAGAAGGTGGAAAAGCTCTTCACTTCCAGAGTTTTTTGCTGCAACCACTCACAAACTGGCATTTTTAATTTTCCCTGGTGTGCTCTCACTTCCTTCCCGTTTTCCCACTGTAACCTTTGCCTTGTTTTTCATTCCAGTGCAATAGTTGTACTCTGTGTTTCCAACAGGGATTAATAAGCTATGCAGGGAAAAGCCTGTTGTTAGCTGAGGGTGCTTTGATCAGGTAATCTCTTGGTTTGGAGGGCTGTGTGTGAGCTGTACAGTGCCTGTAAGAACTTCTTCCAAAACTGGCATAAATGGCAGTGGCTGACAAGCTTTAGCTGACCTGAGCAGTGAAGAAGGCACTCAGTGCTTCAAGCAATGTAGAGGATTAAACTGTACTTGTCCAACACATCTATTGTTAGATGCTTAAATGTAAAACCAAATTCTATTACAAAAGCCACGTTTCTTCCCATATTTGTGCTCTTCTTGCGTTCTTTTTTTTGTAGTTTTGTTTCCTTTTAAAATTAGACATTCAAACATTAGTCAAGATGCAGTTATATGCATTTCCATGAGATTATTTTGCTCTCTGCTTCTCGACATACCTGGATATTTTGGCAGATTCATGTCTGCAAACACCTGGAGCAAAGGTGTCTCCGGTGCTGAGCGCACCCGCTGTCCGTAGGAATGAGCATCCTGTTGTCTCTGTGAAGGAGCATCCTTTGCTTATTCAGGAAAAGATCAGAATTTGTATTACTTCCCGGATCTCAGAGAAGAATTTCCCTTTGCTGAGGGGAAAAAAAAAAAGAAAAAGAAGTGACGTGTCCTTTTCATGGCCTGTTACTCAGTAACGAGCCTCAGCTGATTTCTGCACAGCCAGCAAAATCCTGCTCCTTCTCTCGGAGGCAGCTGGTTTGCTGGCATTTTTACTACTCTCCTCCCCCCTTTTTTGTGGTCACAGTGGTCCAGGCTGTCTTTGGTAATGCCCAGACAGCAGATCATGTCACCAGCTACCTCCTGTCTGCTTTACAGTTCTCGACTCATCTCTAAACATCTGGATTTTCAAAGGATTCTGTGTGGGTTAGTGTGATACTACTGAGGTCTTTCCCCCCAGCCCCATAGGCTTTATTTATCATATCAGAGCGTGTCTTCTTATGTTGTTTCTGCGCAGTATAAAACTTTTTATGTCCAAAATATTTTATTTTTCCTTCAATCATTGGTAATGGCATCTGTTAATAAGCTGAGGTCTTTAACCCCCCGCCTGCATCCCTGTGTGAGTACACTGAACTGTATTGCTGCTGGGAGTCTTCTGGCAGTCCAATGCTTTTTCCAAATTCCATTATTGTTACAAAGCATACTCTGGTGAATGTCCTGCTTTTCCTCTTTGGAGCCCTATAAGGATTCAGTCCTTTCCTGTGGGTGGGATCAAAGGCCTTTCACGTAGGAGCGGATCAGGGCACGTAAAGAGATGTTGAACCGTAGCTCTGCAGGTTTATGCATCTTCTCTCCTCCATATCCAGGCATGGGATATCCATGCAGGATAACTCCTTTATCCAAGAGAAGGAGTTCTGCAAATTCCCTGTAAGGCTACAAGTGCGCGCAGAAAGTTAAAACAGTTAATGCCTGTGTGTACAGCCCGCTGTGGATGATGAGGCAGTGAGAGCAACTGGGATATGCAGAGCTGCAGAGTGTCTGTTGGGTCTGAGCTGCTGTTAATGCAGCATTTCTCATCAGTTGTGGAGCAGAACGGAGCTGTATCCCAGATATGTGTTCAATTAGTGTGAGATTGCATCTGTGCATGAACCATAGTGGAACTGCCTCTTTGGGCACGAGCACAGTTAGGTGAATTAAGTGTCCTGTGTGTACATCTGTACTTAAACCTACACCGGGACTTTATTAATCTTCACTCAGCACTGAGCTAATTTTAGACTAGTCAATAAGGTGATATTATATTTTACAATTGATTTTTTTTCTCCTTCTTATTTTAAAAAAAATCATGTTAGAGGAACCTTCTTCACTCTGCTTTCCAGCAAACTCCATTGATCCTTCTCAACCTAAACACTTAAAGTTCAATTTAACATTTAGGGAGTAAAAGGTCTCCAAAGGGACTCATATCCATTGATTTTGTGTCAGAGTTGAAGAGCTAAAGTTTAAAACACACTGAGCCTACAGGGTAAAGCAAGCCTTGTGTTGTGGAACCACGTGGAGCTGTGTAAACTCATTCTTCCCCGTTGTTTTTCTGTAGAGGTTACAATAAAAGCACTTAAAGAGAAAATCCGAGAATATGAGCAGACCCTGAAGAACCAAGCGGAGAACATAGCCCTTGAAAAGGAACAAAAGTTACAAAATGATTTTGCAGAGAAGGAGAGGTGAGTGTGGGTGTTGTGGAGGAGGAGAGATGTATTTTTGTGTTTAATCTGCCCAGCCAGGACCGACTCTGGGGCGTGCGGAGACAGCTCATATATTGAGTGATTCCGGCGGTTTCCGTGTTTGACACGGAATCATTTGATACTCAGCTTTGCACAGCGAAACAATCGTGAGAGGGTGGAAGTAAAACAAGGACAGATTGTCTCCTGGCCGTGGTGTGGTGGGGGGTGTCGTGTTCAGGAGGGTGCAAACCTGCTTTTATTCCTCGCTGGCTGTGTTGTCCTCTGTGACACCAATCTGTCTCCATTAGCCGACAGGGTAATTCAGCCTGCTGTGTCACAGAGCCGTGGTGCAGGCTGCACAGCCCTGAGCTGCTGGAGATGAAGCACCCACAGCCTGGGTAAAAGGTGCATCACCCCTGCTCCCTTGGCAATGCCTCAGAGAGGGGATGTGCACCTGAGCTATCCCGGGAAGGTTTGCATGTTCCTGTGCGTGTTCCTACGTGCCAAAATTAAGAAGAGTTTTAATAATTACTCATTTTTGTTTAAAGCGTTTTTAATGCATTTCTAATCTCTTGCAAATGAGCAGGGAGTGTTTGAATCTTCACATTAGTGGGCAAACAAATCAGGCAGGACAAGACCAAGGGGCTAAAGAGGGAGTTCTTTCAGGCTGTGTTCCCTGTCTTGAGAATTTACTTCTCCCATGGAGCAATAACACTGAACTATAATATGTTCAACACAGCGTGGAAAACCTTCAGTTTACATGAGCTTTTTAGCTGAGGGTTGGTTGTTTAAATTCAGGTCTGAGTGGGAGGAATCTACCAGTGTGAATGCAAAGCTTTTTGTAAGTCTTCAATACCTGTGGTTGCTTTTTGGTAAGTAGCTTGTAAGCAGTGGCTTTAACAGCTGCAATTTAGATACCCTTAAAAGTAAAATAAAATGGCAGGTCGTAGAATGCAAATAAAACTGTGTAGAAGATGTTTTGAGGTCTCAAAATATATAGTTCAGTTTGAAGGGAACTGACGCGTGGTTCTTGCTATAAATAGTTATTAACCTGGTCAGCAGTGTTGGGGAATAAATTTATGCACTCTATGGAGTGCAGGCAGGATGCTGGTAGTTTCATAAGCCATTTCACAATTCTGAAATCTTCAGAATATCCTAAAAGCAGTGTTGTAAAAAGCAGTGACTCCTGGGAGATGTTGGAGCAGCTCCTTTCAGAGATGAGTTTTATAACTCCTGTAGCCTGGCCTTTAGCAAGGAAAGCAGTGCCTCCATGGCCAGATGATTTTAAAATGGGTAGAACTGACACAAACAAGAAAATGTTGCCTGTGGACATAAGAAATGTGAGCATATTAAAGGTTTTCTCATGTTATATAGAAAATATCCGTGTGGGGTTTGTTTTGAAATATGTGTTTTCTTAAAGATTAGCTAATAATATTGCTGCATTTGGCACCCATTACAGCTCTGATGAGACAGCTGCTGCATCCATTCACTCCATCAGTTATGGCAACAAATTCCTTCATTATGACACTAAAATGGAAATGTATCATTCTTCTTGTACTAACTTTGTACAACAGAGGGTGCTTGGTGACAATTTTCTCGATGTGTGTGACATTTCCTAAACAAATTATGCTCAAGAAAACCTTCCACTGAAGTTGTCATTTATATAGCAGTCAACTCTTGTATAATGTTCACAGCTTATGTTATGAGGTGGCTACGCTGTTAAAATTTTAATAAGTGGGACCACAAAGTAGGAGCAGGATCACAACATGACCTGATTTAGGGGTCCCACTGAAGCACCTTGTAGCCTGGGTGGTGTTGGCAGTTGTCTGATTACAGTGGAGATGTTTGTTCGCTCTATCTTCCAACTTTGCAAAGCCCAGAGAAGTTGTTTGAGGTGGTTACAAGCTCTGTTCTCACCTCTTGTCTTCCCTTGGCAGAAAATTGCAGGAGACACAGATGTCGACAGCCTCGAAGCTGGAGGAGGCCGAACACAAAGTTCAAGCTTTGCAAACAGGTTTGGCTTCACTTTTCTGACCTATTCCAGGGATCAGGTTGGGAGGTGAGAGGAGAGGGATCACTGGGTGTGTCAGGACTGTTTGTGAACCAGCTCCTGGAAGTTCAGGGAGATCCAACAGAGCTTTGTGAATCAGAGCTTCTCTGGGCTCACACCCAGTCTGGTGGTAAATCCGGGAGACAAGTCCATGAAGGACCTGCAGCATCAGAGTATCCCTGAAATTACAGCAGGCCATGGAACTTATCATCCATGTGTGTTCTCCTCTGGCTTCACACCCTCCTGAACTGAGATAACTGTGTAGTGATCTGTGTGAACCCAGTTTCTGCCACTGTGTCTTGCCTGTTGCTATGACTTGCCATAAATTTTCATCCCTGTACACTTAGAGGTTCCAGGTCTGGGCACATTTGGCTCTGTTTACTATGAGAAAACAAGAAGGTGTTTTTCCCTGAACTATTGCAATGAGTATTTCAAATAAGTAATCAGTTTAGCCAGTGTAATAAGAAATTAATAATGTCTAGCTTTGTTAAGCAGAAACTGGGAATTTTTTGCAATGTAACAGAAATGCCATAAAAAATTTAAAAAAAAAAATCAAAATTCTATGTTTTTTCTAAGTCATAAGCCTAGGTAGAAAGATACAGCAAAGAATTTTTCATCAGGAGATGTACAACTTTATTTATGGCTGAATACTGCTGTTTCAGTACTGTAATGCTTCATGTTTATGCCTTTTAGCCTTGGAAAAAACCAGGACAGAACTATTTGATCTGAAAACAAAATACGACGAAGAAACTACTGCAAAGTAAGATTTCCTTGTTTTCTTTCTATGTCTCCCTTCAGGGTATCACTGCTTTTTTTTGTTTGTTTGTTTTGCATCTGTCTGCTGGAGACAGACAAGATGGGGGAGGCTCAGGCGTCCAAATTTGTTGGAAAACATGGTCATAATTTGGCCTCCTATGGAGAGATTATTAGTTTTCATCTTTTCTTCCACCCAGTAAGACTTTTCCTGGCACACACGCTGCTGCTTTCCTGGTTTCGTTCTCAGGTGCTTCATCTGTTTGTATTTTACACTATATATCTCTTGCATTTTGTTTAGAAAAAGGGCTGTTTCAGGAATATTCACTGTGATCTTTCAGTCTTGGTGAAAATAAAATTTCATTTAGCAAAGGATTTGTGTTTCAGTGTTAGGCACCCTGGTTCCTTCTACTCCTGGGGTAGCAATCATTGCTCTGTTAGGTTCACCCTAAACTGCAGAGAGTAGCATTTTTGGCAGATTTCTCTTGTTTTCAAGTAGGACATGAAGGTAGTCTCAAAAATATATATTCTTGTCTTCCTAATGGCTACTGTTTTCAATTATCCTCTGGTTTTATTAACAATCAGGGCAGGGAACAACAAAAGAGACAGACTGGCTGGTTTCCTTTGAACCCTTCATATTTAAGGAAAGTTAATAATGAGAAAGAATTCTCATGATCAGCAGGATAAAGCCCAAAGAGTCATTTCTGTGTCTGGAAGTGGGATGAGAATGAAGAAGCTGTTTCAGATGGCTGGGACACTGTAAGGGAAGGGTTGGGAGACGTGGCACCTCCCTGTGCCCACATCCTGCAGAGTCCCACCCTCACCTCACTTCCAGCCCTTGCTCCTGCCCTCACCACCCTCCCTGGCACAGGAAAAATGGGAAGTGAAGGCTGTTGGAAGCTCCTTGTTGGGGCATGAAAATCCACAGGCTGGGTTGGATGGGAGGAGTGACCTGGGTTTGGGTTTATCCATAAAGGGCTTTCTGGTGTGGCTGGTGCCACTCTGGACAAGTCAGGGTTTTAACACCAGTCAAACTGGCACCAAGTCTGAATTTCTTAGCCCGTGGTTCTGTGACTGTCGAGGATCTGATTCCCCACTGAGCTCATGGGGAACTTGGAGCTCACCAAATGCAGCCCATGGTAGTTCACAATCCATCAGCACTTGGAGTTGAAACACCTTTTACCCTGTTCAGGATAAGGTAAATTTTGGGTTTGCTCTGGAAGTCCAGTTTCCTCTGAGTTCCATGCAAGATGAGTTCCATATGAGGTGATCAGAAGTAGTTTTGTTCCCTCATTGTTTCATCCCTCTCTAAGAGGCACTGACTAATGATGGGTCTGGTGGAGCCATCATTTTTTTCCTGCACATAACTGATTTTGCTGTTATTTTGTCTTGCTGTTGCTTCTGGGGGAACAGGCAGAGGCCAGTGGTTGTAGGCACTGAACCTAATGACCCCTCACCCTTTGTAATGTGTTTATTTGCAGAGTGTTTGCTTCATTTTCAATACTATTTCCCTAAGTGCTGTAATTTATCTTAAACTGAGAAAAGTCTGTTCTCTAAAATATTTGTTTGCATTTCTGATCTCATTCTTTCAGGGAGATTCACACAGAAATGTTCTCATGATTTTGAGTATGATTCTTACCTAATATATATAGAATTACATAAAAATTAGTACCATCTGCAGTAACAAGAAGTTTATTGTGTTCTGTGGCAGAATGATTATGAAGACTGGGTCTGGAATATAGTGGTCATGGAGCTGAATCCTGAAGCAGACATTAAGCTTGTGCTTTATCTCCCAGACTAATGTACTGTGAAAACAAACTTGTAGGACCTAATAACAGCAGAAATATTTTATCATTGTTTTGGATATTTATGGCAGGAATAGTTCTTGCATAACAACAATCATCTGTAGCGTTTGTAGCCCGAATTTTGCAATATGGAAGTCTAGAAAAACATGAAAAGGGAACTGAATGTAGACAGTGAAATTGAGTCATGTATTTTAATTATAAAAGCTGGGAGAAATGCTGAAAAAACACCAATAAAAAGGGTGAAAGACAGTTTGATTCTCTTCTAAAAAGAAACCCTCTTTTGATCTAAGTCTGAAAAGCTACTTGTATTGCCAATTTTAATTTTATGTTTTAAAAACATGTGATTTTTATCTTAGGCCAGAATTGTTAGTTTTACAGACACTTATTTGATGCAGATGAATTGGAGTGCCTTCAGGAAAAAAAACAGATAATTGTCAATTTTTTAAAGCTAACAGTGCTTTTAAGATTTTCAGTCTCAGAATAAAGCTGTCTTTCAACTACTTGAAACTTTGCAAATCTTTCACACCAAAAAGAAACCACCAAAAAAACCCAAAAAAGCAAAAAGAATACACAGTGAGAAGCCTCCATTATCATCATTAAGGAGTCTGGATTTTGTCCTGGCGACTGGTCGTGATCTTGAAGTTGGGGATCACTGTGTCAACTTGTTTGTCTTTAATGTCCCGCTCAAAGGACGTGCAGAGGGAGGGGTGGAGGTGCAGCTGGGCACCTTGGGGATGAGATCAGTGGCTGGAATGAAAACCTCCAGTCCAATTAGGTTCTGTCATCTGCCCCATGTCTAAAAATGCCTTTTGCAGGGAGCAGGTGGGTCTGTGCCCCCCCCGGCCCCTGTGCCGGGCGCTGAAGGTGTTAATGACAAAAAGAAGTTTATTATGTGCAGTCATTGCAGTCTGTCAGCTGGGATATCAGAAGCTGCATTTGACAAGATGGCAGCAGCAAAGTTTTCCATGTGTAGGCTTGAAGTAAAATGTAATTAGCCTTTATGTGCAGAACAAGGATCCATTGATGAATACAGCTGGTCTTTGTTTTCTTCTGTCATTGAGTGTGGGAGGTAAAAGTGTTCTTCTTCATGTTTATTAATACAAGATTCCTTAGACAAATGGCAAGCACAGTTTAATATTTGTTGGAACACAGAGGGGCTTGCCAAAACAGTTGTTGTGTAAGAGGATTTCAAGGTTTTCAGATTATAATCATCTCTGGGTTAAATAAATGAATGATTACTCTGCCTTTTTCAATTAAAGAGGCACATCCTCTCTTGAGGCCTGATACTGATTTTGTTTGCTGTCCCACACGTTTCTATCAGCAAACCTGGATTTAACCAGCACTAATGAGTTTGATCTGGAGATTCTATCGGAGCTGGAACTGAAAAGCAAACTCAGACTTGAGTTTCAGGAAAATTAAAGAATGTTGGGTTTGGTTTTTTTCATAGTGCAACAGACTATTTTTTTTTCTTTCTTTCTTCTCTGCAGAAAAAGTAACATTCTGTATACATTTCCTTAAGTTTTCCAGGGACAAACTGTTCCTCCTCGGTAATGTTGCTCTTTCACTTCTGGTTTGCTGCAGAGTCCAAACAAGTGTTTGGGATTCCCAGCTGAGCAGTTAATGCTCCCAGCAGGAATGGTTGAATTCCAGTTTCAGATCAATTCCAGAGCCACCTCTTCGCTCCGACCCCTCCTCTCCCCCAACCTAAATGAATTCTAATTGGAAAAGGATCTTGGGTTGTAGCACATACAGTAGGCTTGTTACATTACTGTTAACATGTGGGTTGAGGCTCCCTGCCTTTGATGAAAGAAAATATCGAATTTCACTGAAATGCTCCATTTTCACCAGCCAGCTTTAAGTAGTCTTGTGAGGATTTTGGGTACTGCCCCCCCTTCTGCAATAAAATGCCTTCATAAACAACACAAACCAGAAGTAGTTTAGGTTAAGATTGTCAGTCAGAGCAGCTCTGCCACCAGCTTTGTTACCTGAGGATTTTCTCAGATTCAGACTTTTTGTTCTTTTAAAAGTCGAGTGTGCACAGGAACGTGATGGGATATTCATATTTCATGTTTCCTGAAGTAGTCATCTGAAAACAACTACTTTCAATAACTCCTAGAAAAATATTTTGCCTCCACAATATGAAGCACAGAATTGTTGTCCTTCCATAGATCAGACTGATTATTATTTTTTTTGGCAGCCCAGCTAAGGATGACACAGGAGGGCATATGGGAACAGAAGGAGATGCCTGTGGTTTTTGACTCTTTGGGGTGAAGGCTTCTCTTCCACATTATCAAACAGACCTGTTCTTCAGGCATCAGTGTAGACTAAAGTTATAAAGATGTAATTTTCTGCATGGAAGGACTGTAGGATTGGGCTTGAAGACAGGCAGAGGATCAGAAGTTGTAGAGAATTCCTGAAGAATTATTTCTGCCCCAAGTTATGTGGTGGAATTGGATTTCAAGTATTCATGTGAAATCTGTTACATTGGGGCAAATCTCAGTTAACTTGGACTTCAGGGGAATCATTGCCCATATATTGTGAGAATTGAATTATTTACTTTAATTTTTTTTTTTACCAAATCTTTCTTGGTTAAGTGCTGGCTGGTGCCAATACATCACTTCTCAAATGTTTGTAGTTTTCCATTTTGATGGTGCTCAGGGTCGAATTGAATAAAAAATAAAGTCATGCTCCCTCCAGCATCACATAATTACTGTGATAGATGATCTCAAATGCTGCTTCCCCCCATTGAGCATGAAATACTGTAGTTAGGGTGGTTGTGTTGTACATGACATGAAATAGCTTCTATTTACTGTGCCTTTAAGGTCTTAAAGTTTCCTATTTCCTGTTCTTTTGATGAGTCATTAACTTCTAATGCTCAGCTCTGGAATTATTGCTGTATTTAAAATGATTTCCCTAAAAACAGGAGATGAAGAACTTCATAGGCCATGTCTCTTGGTATTTTCTCTTCTTAAATTTCCTAATCATATTGCTACTAGTGAAGCCTCAGGGGTGGTGGCAGTGGGGGGATGAGAAACCAGGGAAGATGTTACAGAGAACTGCTTTTTTAATGAAAAAAAAAAAAAGAGAAGAAAAACTGAATGGTTTGAATCTTACAGGAAGCTCTGTCTTCATTTTACAATTCGAGGTGTTTGTTCAGAGTTTTAACTGTGCCTTATGCAAAACTCAGCAGGCTGAAAGTCAC